TTTTACCGTGGAAATCCTAATTCACTTTCTCTTACGGTACATTTTAAAACTAGAAAAATACAGTCTGTTTCTTCTATCTTGACACGCTGCTCGAACTTCCCCACTAAGTTCCGGATAAAAATACAATTTGTTTCATAGCCGAGCAGTGGCTTTTAAATAACATCTGCATAGAATATCACTTATCTAAACTTTTTGGCTAGATCATTGTACGAGATTTTCCCGATTCAGAATCTAAAGTGTAGAGAAAACGAAAAATTCATTTTTCACCGCAGAAAAGAAAGGTGTACGTTAGTATAACCAGTCTGTTAAGTAATGGGAAAGTGAAATTGTTATAGATTAGAACCGTTAACCCTCTAACCGCGGACAATGTACAGTTCTGTAAAATATTCGATGCTCAATTGAGTTTCAACTCTCGAGTATTTTATCAGGCTATTGTTATTTATCGTCTGTCCCGTTATTCATTAGTCCCGTTAGTTTTCATCTAATTATTAGGACGCATCTGAATAAATAAGACTAGCCTGCCATTTCATACTAAAAAAAAATCAAGAACTCCTGCGGTTACAGGGTTAAGTGTGAAAGCTTCTCTTTCAAATCCAAATCCTTAAGTATAAGTACTTTACATTTAACATAAATTATGTTCCAAAATAATCGAGTATCTAAGTAACTACTTGGCTCGTCGTGGTGGTAGACAGCCCATTACCTTTCAGAATGTCTCTTCACTTAAGTTCTGTTTCAAATCGCTCAGCTAATCTATTGGTTCATCCTCATCTGAAGGAACAAGGAAACAATTGCATAAACCTTGATGTAAGTTAATCTGACAGCCTTAAAAAATCCAGTTACCTTCGCCTTCGTCCTCTCCTTCTACCAAATGAATGTCATTGTTCTTCTGCTGAGGTTCTTTTCCATAATCTAAGACTTCATATTGGTCGTCACCTGGTTCAATCTTGTCTGCGCTTTCTTGAAAACTAAATTAATTAGGAAATATGTTAACATGCAGTATTAGTTCTCACAGAATTGACAAAGATATCTTTTTGTAGGCATCTACGTACCCAGACAGTCGAAGATGATTGCCTTCGTCACCAATTTCCTGGATGCCAGGGCCAACGTTGAGCCAGCCACGTCTGTCAGGGTGATGTTCCTCGTTTCTCCTTCCTTGAGGAGCCAGGTTCCCATTCTCATCTTCATTTTCCTTGCTGTCGACTTCTTTCTTCTTCTTGGGCTCATTCTTCGTTCTTGCAGCATTGTCCTCCTGCTTCTCTTCCCTGTTTTCTAACTTCTGATCTATTATCACTGGGATAGGCGGCACACCCATTGGAAGCTTAGACTTCAACACTGGCTTTGCGGTTGGGAGCGATTTCACGACAGCTGTGGACAATGGATTAGGGTTGTTCGCTGTCGTTGAAGTTTCCAGTTTCACCGCCGGGGTTGACTTCATTGAACTGCTCGCCATAGTGCTCTGAAAAATCGGTGCGTTTAATAGTTAAAGAGAATTCTTTGTTAGTTTGTGTATATTGTTGAGTAAATATCGATTTGAATCAAATTGACAATTCTCTGGATTGATGTGAAGCAAAAGTTCACTGACTGTTCACCTATGAAGGGCTAAAAATTGAGCGTGAAATGCTTTGAGATATTATCTTGGATGTTCCTTGTTTCTCCTAAAGTTTATGTGCATAATATGTTGCAGTGTTTCCTCACATTCTGTATGTTTTTTGAAACTGGACTGCGAAGGAGGTTCTCACGAAACACTTTCTAATGAAGTACTTGTAATCACTTCGAGTTGTCTTAACTAGGCTAGACTAAACTAAAACTATTAAATGCATCACATGTTAGAACACCAACTTACCTGTGAGAATTCATTGGCGAGGAGGAATAGGTGCTTTTCAAATCTAGGCCTCTTTCTCGAAGCTACAAAAGCGCATTACTATAGAAATTCGCATAAAGCATGCTACTTGGCAAAGAGAAAACCACCTGGTAGAATTGAGACTACGAATAGTATTAGAAAGGAGGAGATACAACTTTCCAAAGACAACATGTGTTTTCCATCATTGTGTTTGGTCACTTGAACTTTGTTGAATTTTCGAATGTAGTACTTCTGCGTTGATCTAATACAATCTGAGTTGAACTTTGCCAGGCAAACTTATTTTATACATAGAAATACAAAAGGAATGGGAACAAGCAATTGTGAAGTAACTCTGTTTAACAAGAAAGCAGAAGCACAAAGTTTAAAATTGATTTGAATCTTCTGTGATCTATTTTAGATGAATGATAAAATTATTCAGATAAGGAAATAGTTAAAGAGGAATGTAATCTTCCAATTACTTCCACTTTTTAAAATTGATAAGGAAACTAATTGCAGACTTACATCACTACAGCGGTCTAGTAAAATAGAAGCAGAATTTAGTTCAGTTAGGTTGTGCAAGGGTGCCAGAAAAAATGCAAGCGGATCAAAATAATAACAATTTATTAAATGCATTGATTAACACGAACATACAGGCACATTCAATGCGGTTTGCAAGCTACATGTATATAATCCTTTTGTTCCTTCTTCACTCGATTAACTTTTTGACAAATTAGTGTTTCATCCTTCACAGATACAAATTATTAAGTATA